TTTTTGATGAAGTTTAACAGAAGTGCCATGTACTGGCGGTTTAAGAGAATCCACTAGTCCATATTATCTCGTTGTAATCATATAAGATAAAGGAAAGATAAGATAGTAGCATCTTGCTGATAAGAACTCAATAATAGTAATTAGTAAACGCGTGACAACTATGGCGAATATCTATGTATAGGGATGATGTAATTGAACATTATTTCTTTAAACATTAATTTGACATTATTGAATTAAGGTATGTGAGGATAGTATGATCACCTTAAGCTTTGCCGCGCTATAAACCAAAATTAGCTGGAGGACGAAGACAAAAACACAAAGTCGTATACCATAACTAATATATTAAGAAAAAAAATAGCAAATAAGCTTTGGAAATAATTAGGAACACTTCGAAAAATCTACTGAAGAAGAACGAACTACACCACACGATACTAAAATGGACTAAAATATTTACTATAATGACAATTGTCAAAATGGGGTCGATAAGGCAGCGCCTTTTTGACCCTATATTTTTTGATTGCCGATAAAGAGCTATCGTATTACAGATCCATTTATTGAAACGAGGCTTTAGTTTTTGAGTTATAAGAAAGTGACCATACTAACCGGATGACAATATTACCCTTACAAACTATGACCAAAAAGAAATGGTTACACGAGTATTAAATAATTGCTAGTTATCACCAGGCTTTAAAGTTAAGTTAATTAGTTAGTTTTTAGCTTTTTTTTGCACTACGCGGTAAACGTCCCGATACCATCCACACCATCTGGATGCTTGGTGGTCCACCACAGTACGTTTCAAATGGAGTTTTCTTCCGCGTACAACCTACTCTGGAACACCGCGTAGTTTAAGACCGGCGATTTTTCCGGACCGATACGACCTGGGGACCTTCAAGAAAAGAGCTTATTCCTTTCTAAAGGGCCGGCAACGCACCTGCAATTCCCCTGGTGTTGCGGTTGATCATGGGCGGCGGTAGTCACTTAACATCAGGTGAGCCGCATGCTCGTTTGCCCCTCTTCTATAAAAAAAAAAAGTTTCCCTTTACCAGTCGCTCCTCTGTTTTCGCTAATTCTCTATAGTCTTATCGATCTTCCATCAGACAGCGGGCTACTAAGAGGATAACATAAAGAGCGTATTTATAGTGCTGAGTGCTTTAGGTAATCCTGTATAGCGTTGCAAATGCTCATAAAACCATTTTATAACTGGGCCAGCTTGTCAAGTACTAGACGAGTCCGCTCCGACCGTTCGTGCTTTCCCGTTACGTTCACTTCTTTGTTGGGTTGATCGCTTTATTTGAAAAATGTGAACAGCAGTTCACTGAACAGGAGAGCTCTAAATGCTTTATAATAAGAATATTAAATAGAATATTTAAAGTCGGATGTGAATTTTCGAGTTGTATTTTATTAAGTTACTTGCCCAGGCTTTGTCTGGATCTAATTTTTTATCATTTTGATTTGAGATAAACATCAAAGGCCGTTTATTTTACCAATTTGTCGATTTTTTTAAAATTTTCACGTATTTCAGATAAAACTTTGCCTAAATTACTCCTGGATATTAGCCCTTATAGACAAAAAATTTAAAAATGTTTGATTATGTCTTAATAACATGCAAATAACTCCTAAAACAAAACGTACAAAAAATTTATAAAACAAATAGTCTTTGAGTATTATCAATAGATCCTAATCCAGGCTAAGCCAGAGCGAGCCCACCATTCGCTACTATTTAACAATACTTTTAATATAACCAACAAAGTAATTATGCAGATCTTCTTGTACGGCATCACGTGGAGTGCAGTCTCATTACTGAATCAATATGCAAATTCGTTGTCAGCCCAGAGGGAGGACTAGTGGAATGTCTCGTTGCCAGTAAAATAAAGAGTCTGTACTACTTACTTTAAGGATCATGTTCCTCTCTCCAATCTCATTCCATATATATCCTATAAAACTCTACCAACGCTTACTAAAAAGTAGGAAATAGCGTTTCCTCTTACGAGACATATTAAACTGATCAAAAAATAAATCATTTCTAAGCTTTTATTCACTCGCGTATTTTTCTTCTGCGAACGAAAAAAGAAATGAATCAAACTTTGACTAAGAAGTCGCCGCCACTTAAATGTACCAACAAATGCCTGCAGTCATAAGATAAGAAAACTTTGTAAGATGTCATTGGCGTTGCCCACGTAGCAGGCGTGTTTGTGTGTGTGTGTGTGTGTGTATGTGTGTGCGTGAGTCGGAGGCGACTTGTATGTATGAGTGTAGCGAGCGTTACTTGCAGTGATTTATGAAATAGGCCTAGACTAGACAGGGATGAGCTTTTGCGAGTGGACAGTGATGGAGCTCACCAGTTGGCATTAGTTTGAGATTTAGCAACACACATAGAATTTGTTATCAGTTGTTGAATTTCTAGTAAACTAATGTTAGTTTCACACAATATATAACAGGGAATTTATGCAAGAAATTCGGATAGTAGAACTTGTTCTCTGTGGAGAATTCCATGTGGACAGGTACCACCACCCTTTCACGTAAGTCAGTTTTAGCGACAGACTTACGTAGACACAGTGGAGGCAGTGTGCTGTCGTATCTATATAGCCTTCTTTGTTTGAAGTTTATTGCAAGTGTCCGCGGACTGCAGCCGCCACATACCGTCAGGTGGGCTGTTGTTTGTTTGTTTGTTTGTCACTTTAGTTTAATAAAAAAAAACTAAATTTCATTTAATTATAAGTGGCAGGTTAACATACTCGTATATAATTTTCAGCAGTGCGATTAAAATCTTTAATAAACTTGCTTAACCAAAAATTGAAAATACTTCGAGGACATGGCAAGGCAAGCTTTGCATATTAGGTCAAATATATGCCATGCCATTTTGATTCTTAGTCTTGATAGTGCATTTCTTCACTAACTTCAGAATGTTGCATTACATTAGGTTCTTAAATTTTCATAATGCATTTCTTCACAAATTATAGTACCTAAGGTCGCGTTATCACGTTAGACTCACAAGTCGTACTGTGTCTAGTTCGTTATCACTCCGCGTCGTCACGTAGTCGCATCGCCACGTGCAGTCGTCGCAAAGTTTCGGGCACGAAACACTATCGGAATACAAACGATTGCTTTCATCAAATGCGTTAGCAGAAAAATGTCGTTTTATAGAATACGGGTGACAAACGAGCAGGCAGTCCACCTGATGGTAAGTGGATGCTGTGGCCCACAGACACATACATTTACATCAATATAAATATATATATATATATATATATATATATATATATATATATATATATATATACAATCAATATAAATATATAACAGAAGCGATTAACTACGTTAATCGCCTCTGTTCAGAGAACTAGAAAGACTTGAAAAAAATAGCCTATATACGATTACACCCCACCGCTGGGCACTGCCTCCTTTTGTTTCTAAAAAGTTTATGAAACAATTTATTCACTGCGTAGCAGCATTAGTGTGTATTAGTGGAGGAATTCATAGTATGCAAACAACCCGGGTTCAATCCCAGCTATTAATGAAATTTTTAGTTTCAACTTTAAGTGCTGACTTATCACATGCTCGGCAGTGAAGAAAAATATCGCGAGGAAACCTTCTCTCTATCTGAAGTATAAAAATACATGTGAAGTCCAAGATTATAATATTAAGAATATAATATTAATAATAATTCCTTTTTCTTAAATAAGGGTGAGAAACGAGTACAAAATCTACCTGATGGTAATCTACCTGTAGCACACAGACGTCTACATTTATCCTCGATAAAAATCAAATGTGTTGTCACCCCTGCGGACTAAGATGTAATGCCTCGTTTCCAGTATAGGGATATCCAGTTCTCTACACCCACTACACGAAACCCAACAGTTATATTCTAATCAATACGCTGGTATTCTATGGAAGCGTGGTCCTACCGGTTGAGCGGATGCTTTCATTCTGCAACCATAATATTACAGCTTGGCTCTACCACGAAATACTCGTAATAAACCTTTATAACTTTATAAATTATTACTTGTCAATAACTTTATTTGCAAATTAATGCTTATTTATTAGATGGTAGAATTCTTTTTCTGATAATTGATAGAATCAGGCGTTACTTTGCGGAAATCCATTATAATAAAAAATAAAAATATAAATTTCTTTGCAACTTTCCGCTAAACATATAAAATGATGTGTCTTACCTGGATTGAAGCGCACCTCCCGCCCTCCCTCAATTGCATACACTAACTCCGTCACCACTAGACCAAGCAGTAGTGTATGCAATTGAGGGAGGGCGGGAGGTGCGCTTCAATCCAGGTAAGACACATGTTTTTATATGTTTAGCGGAAAGTTGCAAAGAAATTTATATTTTTATTTTTTATAATTCTTTTTCTGTCTAAAAGTCTGTATAGGTAGATATCTTCACCTTACCTATTTCTGCTGTCAAACAGCAGTGCCGGCACTGCGGAGTTCTGGTCTGAAGAGTATAGAGAGGAGTATTATTACAGGCTGTAAGGCATTCAAGACAACACATGTGCAGCATTTTCAGTATAAAGTACAGTAATCACTTACCATTAGGTGCACACTAAGTTTTTTAGTTGTGATCAAAAAATGCTTACACTATTAATTTTATCAGACAATCCATTAACGTTTTTTGTGATTTGATGCCTTCAGTGGCAGTGTTGGCTGGCAGTGAATAGCAAGCCACGGCAACAATATCCGTCCTTTCAACTTTTTTTAAAAGGTTATGATCATAATAGAATATACGTCTACAAGACCTGGTGAAGCCATATTGTAACTGAATTATTGCACAATTATATTCGTTAACGCCTCGTCTGTGTTTACTATGTAGTCGCGTCTTGACGTGGCCAATTCACGAGTTTTCAAAGCTCATAAAACAAAAAAGTTTCTTGAGCATACCATAGTTGGCAGCACTATCTCTAGTCTTTGTGTTTTTTCGTGCCACAACGACTAGTAGTGTTCCGCCATTTTGTGTTAACTAAAAATAGTTAAAAATTTTGTTATACACAATGGCAAAGAAAAGAATATTGTTGGAAAAGCTCATTAATCTTTTGGGAGATTCGGACGAAGGTAATATACTTTACATTTCTTATTTTTCCAGATTGTTTTTTTTTACCGTTTTCACTAAAAGCGTCTTCAAAAGTTTTATGATTATCGGAAAATAAATAAATCTCGATGAAACTTGCGGTACCACGAGCGGGTACACGAGTTATTTAATTGTTGTCATATTTACCAGTGTTTGGCGATAGAACGAGCGTCTATACATAAACATGGTACGAACAATGTCGACAATTTATGAGATCACATAATATAACCCCTGTTTTTGTGTTTTGCGATAGAACGAGCGTCTATACATAAACACAGTAAAAACTAATTTTCTTGCGGTGCCACGAGCGGGTACACGAGAATATTCCTAAAATATAAGGGGCCTTTTTTGCAGAAAAACATTAAAATTTGTACTTAATTTTGGTTAAGGAAAAGATGTTTTTATTATAGCCTGTCATAAGTCCTTTTCTCACAACATCACAACTTTTCAGTTGACAAACCACGGAAAAGACGGGTGATCGACAGTGACTCTGATACTGATAACGAAAGTCAAACGAAGAGAAAAAGAATAATTGTACCAAGTGATAGTGAGGAAGAAAATAATGAAAGCATGTCCTCAAATGTTCTGCAACTCTTAGGGGAAGAACCAAAACATGAAAATATCTTGGAAATCCATATAGATGTCGCAAACATTTGGAATAACATTGTCACTAATGGATTAGATAAAGAAAGTAAAGACAAAATTAATAAAAAAGATACCTACCCTTAAAAATTGTGATGTAACTGCACCAAATCTAAACTCTGAAATCTTGGCAACATTATCAGCAAGTGCAAAAACTAGAGACGAGAGACTTAGGGAAAAACAGAACCAAATTGGTTACATTATAGCAAATTTGAACTGTGTCTTAAAATCATTGCTTGTCAAAAATGATTCTAACAAAGAAGAAATAGAAAAAATTAGTGATAGCCTCCGTCTCCTTTGTGACCTTCAATTCATGGAGTCAGAAACCCGAAGGGCTGTGATATTACCAGGGCTCAATAAAAGTATTAAAAACAGCTTGAAAAAATGTAAAGCATCAGATGGTTTGCTCTTTGGTAAAAATCTTTCTGAAACTATAAAAGAAAGTAAAAGTATTGAACGCTCTTCAAGAGATTTGAAGAAAGCTTCAGAAAAGCCTAATGCCCCTATTAACAATCCTTTAAACTCCTGGGGCCCGTCCACATCATCGAAGAGGAAACCACATCAGGGCGGGCAATACCAGCATTACCATCCTCGCCATTCTTCTCAGAGAGCTCATCGCTCTGCAATGACACAAGCTCAAAACCGGCCAATGCGAGGCAAACCAAAGCAGTGGAACAGGAAAAAAGACTAGAGGTATGCAGTGCAGCAAAGTTACCATTGTTTTTTAATAATTGGCTACATATTTGCAAAAGCAATACCATTTTACGGTGGGTTAAAGATGGTTATAAAATACCTCTATTACACCATGTAAATCAATCTAACCCCCCCTTAAATAACTCCTTTAATAGGTCAGAAATTACTATTATTAAAAAATGTATAAAACATTTGATGAATATAGGTGCTGTAAAAATATGCACTCCTATTAAAGAACAATATCTTTCAAAAATCTTTGTAGTTTCTAAACCAGATGGATCTTATCGTTTTATTTTAAATCTGAAATCTTTTAATAAACACGTTGAAACTCACCATTTTAAATTAGAGGACATAAGAACTGCCTTAAAATTAATTTCACACAATTCTTATATGGCAAATATTGATCTGAAAGATGCATATTTTTGTTTACCAATACACAGCACTTCTCGTAAGTTCTTGAGGTTTATTTTAACAACAAATTATATGAATTTCAAGTGCTTCCTTTTGGACTGTCATCAGCTCCTTATGTTTTTACCAAATTAATAAAACCCATTGTTACATACCTAAGAAAACAAGGTTTTTCATCGGTTAATTATTTAGATGATTTTTTATGTATTGAAAATTCATTTGAGAAGTGTGAACAAAATGTCAAAGTCACCTGTAAATTACTGGAATCTTTAGGTTTTATTATTAATTATAATAAAAGTAAACTCATACCAGAGAAAAATTGCAAATTCCTTGGCTTTATACTAGATTCAGAAAACTATGTGTTGGGTATACCAGAAGACAAAAGAAATGATCTTTATAAAAAACTAAATACATTTTGTAAAGCTAAGACATGTACTATACGTTGTTTTGCTTCTTTGATAGGTAGCTTAATTGCAGTGTGTCCTGCCATTCCTTATGGCATGTTGTACACAAAAAAGACTAGAACGTTTTAAATTTTTGGCCCTTCAGGAAAATAAGGGAAATTATGATAGCAAATTGGTTTTAGGAAGTGACATCATAGAAGATTTTACTTGGTGGAAAAATCATATACACATATCCACAAATCCCATTAGAGAGGCTAAGTATAAAAAGGAAATATTTACCGATGCCTCCTTAACAGGATGGGGGGTGGTCTGCAATAATGAAAAGCTTCATGGTTATTGGAATAACAAGGATAAAAAGCATCATATAAACTATTTAGAACTTAAAGCTATATATTTTGCCTTACAGTGTTTGTGTAAAGATCTAAGAAATTGTCAAATTTTGATACGCTGTGATAACACCACAGCAATTTCTTATATAAATCGAATGGGTGGGATACAATACCCACATTTAAATAACTTAGCTAGAAAAATTTGGCAGTTTTGTGAAGATAAAAATATATTCATTTTTGCGTCATATATCACTTCCACAGAAAATTATCTTGCAGATAGAGAATCTAGGAAAATAAATGAAAGCACCGAATGGGAACTTCATGCCCATGCATATAAAGAAATTATTGCTAGACTAGGTTCTCCATGTATAGATCTTTTTGCATCAAGAATAAATGCAAAATGTAAATTGTTTGTGTCATGGCATATGGAACCAAACTGTTGGGCTGTTGATGCATTTACCATTTCATGGAAAAATCTATATTTTTATGCATTTCCACCTTTTTCTCTCATATTAAAATGCTTAAGAAAAATAGAAGATGACAGTGCAATAGGAATTATAGTGGTTCCAAACTGGCCATCGCAACCTTGGTTTCCATTATTTAAATCCATGGTTAAATCAGAAATGATCTTTTTTCATCCTCACAAATATTTATTATTATCTCCTTTCAGGAGCTGTCATCCACTTCACCAGAGCCTTACATTAGTTGCAGCCATTGTATCAAAAACATGTATTTAAAGAAGGGCTATTCTGAAAAGAGTATTTCTATTATAATAAGTTCCTTATCTAAAAACACTTTAAAACAATATGATTCCTCTCTAAGACAGTGGTGGAATTTTTGCCAAAATAACATTAAAGATCCTTATCAAAAGGATATACCAAGTATTTTATCGTTTCTTACTGAAAAATTTGAAAGTGGAAGTGCTTATGGTACCATTAATTCTGTTAGATCCGCATTATCACTGTTATTTAATTGTGATTTGGGTAATCATAAAGACATAAAGAGGTTTTTTGATGGTTTATACAAAATAAGACCAAACAAACCAAAATATGAAGAAACGTGGGATCCAGCCCAAGTCTTAGAATATTTAGCCAATTTTTATCCCAATATTAATTTATCTTTAGAAGTATTAACAAAGAAGTTGGTCATGTTATTAATGTTAGTTACTGCTCAGAGACTGCAAACTATGGTTTTAATTAAAATAGGAAATATCAAAATTGAATCATCCGGTGTAAAAATTAGAATCCCAGATTTGATTAAAACGTCAAGAAAAAATAAATTTCAACCATTACTCCATATACCTTTTTTCACAGATAATGTATGTATATGTCCAGCACAAACTTTAATAGACTATTTACAAAGAACGATTGAACTTCGTCAGTCTGTTCAAAACTTGTTTATAAATTTTAAAAAACCTCACAATTCAGCATCAACACATACTTTAGCTAGATGGATCAAGGATATTTTGTCAAAATCTGGCATAGATACCTCATTATTTACCGCTCATAGTACTAGACATGCCTCAACATCTTTAGCAAATCGCAGTGGTATTAATATTGACCATATCAGAAAAACTGCCGGTTGGACTAATAGATCTAGCACGTTTGCAAAATTTTATAATAAGCCTATAATTGATCAAAATAATTTTAGTAATTGTATACTAGCTAGTATAAGTAAGTAAAATGTTACTTTAAACCTTAGTTTTATCAACACTGATTTTTTGTTTTGTCTGTTATATTTCATTAAATAATTAAACAAATTACCGCAATCTCATTCTTTAAACATCTACATAGTAAACACAGACGAGGCGTTAACGAATATAATTAAGTGATCAAAGTAACTTACCTGTAAGTGAACTTCGATCATAATTATATGAAGTTAACGCCTCGTCTGTGTACAACCCTCCCCTATATAATGTGAATATATAGCCCCACCCATTAATTGCTATGTTTAATTATTTTGTTTTTATTCTTTGAACTCAATGACTAGAGATAGTGCTGCCAACTATGGTATGCTCAAGAAACTTTTTTGTTTTATGAGCTTTGAACACTCGTGAATTGGCCACGTCAAGACGCGACTACATAGTAAACACAGACGAGGCGTTAACTTCATATAATTATGATCGAAGTTCACTTACAGGTAAGTTACTTTGATCACTTAATTATACTACATAATAAATGACATTGGGAATAAGATTCTATTGCTTATGGAAGTAATTTCTAATTGCATTTCATAACATGAATGAAAATTTCTTCTTTGATATACTTATTATATAAGGTATCGCCGGCTATCTGAGCTAGAGTGTTCCACTGGTCGTTACTGCTCTACGCGATAGAGAAGCCTCGTAAAACTCGAGCCGAGCAATATTCACAACGTTATTCCTACTATATCCGAGAACTTAATTTAAAGTTACTTCTCTTTAAATATTATTATCCATATTTTTCTGTAATAAATAACTAATTAACATAGTTTGATATTTAAAATCAAAAAGGAAAGGAAAGACAAAATCGTCTATTAAATTGTCAATAAAAGTGTGAACAAAATTTCGAATGAATGTCTCAAAAAAAATATTTGGAAAAAATCATAAAAACCGAAAAAAAAATGATTATGTTATACCAAATTGACTATTGGCGTGAAGAGACGACGTGAGTAGGTACATCTTATACCTCTGTTGAAACTCTGCTTATACCCAATGGTTACCGATGACGACGTCTCCACGATACGGGAGGAAAACCTACGATGGGCGTAATCTTTTCTAAAGAAAAACATAGATATAGGTATATGTAATTTCATTCCGTCCCCTTACAGTCAGTTCAACTTCGCCGCTAGACATAGTCCCCCCACACCCACACATTGCTTCACAGGAGATATTTGCTAGAGTTACCACGCTTGGAAGGCGGATTGTCAACCTCAGATTTTCCCATTATTTAAACGTTACCTACTACTAATAGTGTGGGACTAGTATTTTCTCCTGTATCGTGGAGTTTACATACAGGAATCGCACAAGAATAAACATCCAGACCTGGAACAAATATTTGTAGGCCGTAATATTTATTCCGTGCGGTATTCGAAACCCTCAGCGCTGCAACAAAAAAAATATAATATTGTCTAAATGTTTGTTGAATTACGTTAATTGAAATTAATTGTGCTGAGGACGTGTGCTCCAGAGTTGGAACCGGTTTTAACGCGTCTTTTCCGGTACTCCTACTCCCTAGGCGTAGTCTCAAAATCATGGAAGACGGCTTTCGTCCACCCGATCCCTAAAAAAGGTGACCGCTCAGATCCGTCCAACTACCGGCCTATCACCATCACCTCCTTGTTCTCCAAAACAATGGAGTCCATTGTAAACTGCCAGCTCATGATGTACCTTCAGGATCACCAGCTGATTAGTGACCGCCAATACGGTTTACGCCGTAGTCGGTCAGCTGGTGATCTTCTGGTCTACCTAACTCACAGATGGACGGAGGCAGTAGAGTCCAAGGGGGAGGCATTGGCCGTTATTTTGGACATTGCTAAGGCCTTCGATCGGGTTTGGCACAAAGCGCTTCTTTCGAAGCTCCCTTCCTATGGGCTTCCCGAGAAATTGTGCGATTGGATCACCAGCTTTCTTGCAGATCGGGGCATCAAGGTCGTTGTAAAACGGTGCAAGCTCCGATTGCAAGCCTATTAATACTGGTGTTCCACAAGGCTGCGTGCTATCTGGCTAGATAGCACGCAGCTGTTTCTTCTGCATATCAATGATATGTTGCAAGCCCGTAACATTCATTGCTATGCAGATGAAAGCACTGGTGATGCTCTTTACAGCGGCCGAGCCAATATTTTTCGGGAAAACGTCTCCGAGTGCCGGGACAAACTTG